ATGTACTGTTTTATATCTTCTACTTTTAATTGTTATTACTGTTTAAATATGTTTGAATATAATGATTTATTATATTGTTTACGAAGTAAAGATGTTTTAAAATCAATTATCATAGCATGAGACATTAATAAAAATTAAAATAAATATGACAGTTATAAAAATATTCAAATATTCATGAAACTGAGAACAGAACAATTTTCCAATCTATGCATTATAATGTAAAATGTATTGTAATGTAATATATTATGTAATGTAATATATTAATCAAAAGAATTATCAGATTTTCTTAAAAATGATTTAACAACTTTTAATTTCTCCAGGTATTTGTGATAACTTACAATAAATTGTATCTTCACGAAAATACATGCATCACATAATAAGCACTTACATGAAATCGCCTTAGACCTTATTCTTTTGTTTAGCGCCATCTACAAAATAAATTTTTGTTATGTGTAGATACGTAACAAACATGGGAGTAATTTGAGGAGTCTGTGTTATGGTTTTAAATTTTATAATTAAATTAGTCACAGTTTTATCATAATTTGAGGTACTCGATGAAAAAAGTTAGTGGTGTATAAAGGTTTGTATTGCGTTTATTAAATAATAGATATTGTGCATATTATTTATGAAATATATTTTATTGTTTACATCTGCTATGTTTACACTACCTTCAAAAAATGCTTTTATGTTTGTTTGAGTTTTATATTTAATTAAGGAATTTAATTTCCAAAGATTGGTCAATACAGATTTTCACAGTGGTTACTAGATTGCAGATCTTATGCATTTGAGGTATTTATAAACATATAAATTACAATAAAATAAAGATTTTACAGAAATTTCAAATAGTGGTGAGGTACATTTCTATTTGAATAATTAAACTTATAATAAGAAGAATAAATTTTATACTCAACCCCAATTTTTAGAAATTGTACATTATATTTGTATAAAATATAACTATTTAATAATTATACAGAGTCAAGTAGCTATAGTGCAAGTAGGAAATTAGGAGAAACATAAGAAATAAAAAGATAATAAATACATATCAGATACTTTTTATTCAAATATGTAATTAGTTTTTAGGTGGAACTAGGTTTTAGATAAGAGAGTGATTCTTTACTAAATAGTATTTATAATTAATGGAAAATATTGTTATATTGAATTTTTCTATAACTGTGAATTGTAATTTTGTTGTTTTCTTTTATGAACTTCTTGCCTAATCAATTATTTTATGGTTCATTGTAGATGGATCCAGAATTCCTTTCTAGACTGATTCCACAAAACAAAGATCATATTCGTCCAGCATGTAAAAAGTGTGGATATGCTGGACATCTTACCTATCAGTGTCGTAACTTTATCAAAGTTGATCCAAATAAAGAAATTGTATTAGATGTTAGTAGTACGAGTTCTGATAGTGATGAGAATTATGTTACTCCTTTGACTGAGTTACGAGAAAAGGAACTGAAGAAAAAGCAGAAAGAGGTGAAAAAGAAACACAAAGAGAAGAAGAATAAAAAGAAATCTAAGAAACATGAAAAGACTGAGACTAGTGATAGCGAATCTGAAGTGGAAGCTTGTAGCGAAGAAAAAAGGAAACACAAACATAAGAAAAGGAAAAAAAAGTCAAAACACAAGAAACATAAAAAAGTTAAGAAGGACAATAGTTCAGACAGTAATTGTAATGACAAGAAAGAATAATTTTTTATAGTTTAGATTAACGAGTATTTTAATTCATAATGAACAATGTAAATACTGATCTTGTCAACAGTATAATGTATATAATTAAAGTTATATGATTTGTAAAGACACAGAAAAGTACACTTAAACTTGTGTATATAACTAAATAAATACAATTTTCATAAAAATTGGAAAACAATTTCTGATTTATTATAGTTTAGAAGAAATATTATTTTTAGCGTATATATTGTATACCTTTAATGCACAATGCATAAATCCTATTTTTATGTCTCCGGACGTTAATGTGTTAACAGCATATAAGACACTCTTAGACTACTATTATATTTTAAAATTTGTTGCTAAATAATGAACGAAATGAAAATTCTTTGAAATTATTGTTAATACCAACTTTAAACAATTTGGTAGCTAATTTTAATGTAGCTTCATAACACATTTTCTTAAAAAATAACACTGTCTCATATTATAGATTTTTGATTTATGAATATTCTGAAACTTTGTGTAAACAAATCAAATTTTTTGTACCTTTGAACATACTCTTTTCTCCACCCTAGACAACGTTCCCAAAAAAAGAATGTTCAGTGTGGATAAACTCAGCTAAAAACGACAAGATTTTTAAATGTACCATTTCCAATAGTTTATATTATAGTTAAATGAAGTACGAGACTTTGTATCAATCGTATGTTCGCTGTGTGTGCAATTTTCATATAAACCTGTATTTTTATAAATTAATATAATTCCGTCTACATATTCCAAATATGTAGGTAACTATAAAATATGTTGTTCAAGAGTGTAATATTTGTATGTAAGCGTAATTTTAATATCAAAATAAACAATTAATGTCATATGACATTCAAGATACCCTGCTATTAAGATTATGTTCATTCTTCGTGCACTGAAAATAGAAGAATTAGGACGTTACGATGTGCAAGAAATTTAGAAATTTACAGTGTACGTGAAATAACGATATCCTGTTAAGTTACACATTTTGTAGCATGGCCGTAGGTCGTCGCGCTTCGTCGGCCGTTTGGTACGCACAGACAATCGCATCGACCTTGATATGTTGTAGACTTTATTTTTTTTTTGTCCTAGATCCTTGACATCGCACTATTCGTTTAAAGAACTCGCTCTGTAACAAATAAACATTCATTTGAAGATATTATTATATTTATTCGTGATAAATATGAGTTTTATTACATGCATATAAAAAGGATGTTTCTAAATATTAAAATGGCGATAAGCATTCCATTCGGTTCAAATGTAACCGAGTTGTCAACGATGAAAGAGTGGAGTCTGTTAATTATTAATTTCTTAAGACACGCGCCGAATGCTGTAAGTTTATAAAAAGATTGCATTAGTGTAGGTGTATGGTGAGTTGTGTCTGATTTCATGTGGAATGACTCGTTCAAGAGTGTCGTTAATCTTAAGGCTTCGGAGGTCTTAGGGTTTAATTGCCTGTAACCGATCATACAATACGTGCCGAACTCGGAGAAAACCGCATTGTTCAATTTATGTAAAGAAAGTTACCCTTGATTATAGACATGGTATATAAGGCCTTAGAAATACACGAATCGCTCAGAAGCCAACGCAGTTAAGTGCAAAAAACAAAAATTGAGAAAATTAGTGTTTTTGAATATATTATTATACAACATATTCATAAGCTATGAAAAGAAGGGCTTTCTGACCTAGAAGAAACGAGTAAATTCTTTAATAACTGAAAAGAACATTATTTATTCCATTAAAATTGACAAAAAATCAGAAAATATCAAAAAATCGACTTAACCACATTGGCTTCTCATTGGGACTCACGTGAGAATACACCGTATCATGCTTGATACCTTCTTTTGCTATTACGGGGATAACGAACATCGTACAGCAAAGAGTAATCGATGCAAATTTTGTAAGAGTGAACGATACTTTCTAAAATACGTATTCGAATATACTTTATCGGCGCGAAATGAGAGAAAATAAGTACTTTAATAATTGTTGTCCAAACGAAGAAAACAAAAACTCGAAAAATACATGTCTGAAAATCGATTAATATTTAGTATGAAAAATCGAAATTTGATATATTATTTAAATTAGAATTTAATGAATCAACGAGTATCCCAGCTTCTATGGCGGCTTTTGCTAGGTGACTTTATTAATAAGTCTACTGACACCCCTAGGTGAAAAAGTTTTCTTTCCCTGTTATCTTTCTCCCCCTTTCTTCTTCATCTACATTTTCATTAGAGTCACCAAAATAGTATAAATGAAAGTTTTGTTTTATTAACCTCTTGCTCTGTAATAACGTGTCAGATTTGTGGAGATTTTAAGCAGAACGTAACAAGCATAAATATTCGATTCTATTGAATTCAAATTGAATATTATCCTTCTGTTATCAACTATTATAGTGTATAGGACACATGGACATAGAGTATGTCTAGAAGTTTCCTCTCTTTTTCAATGAATTATTAATGACGAAGTAGCTGTATCGATCGTGACTAGGAAATAAATCATAGGGCAAGGGGTTAAGAAGGGATTTTCATAGAACAGCTTCAAAAAATCGAGCTTTTTTATTTTTCTTATTAATCGTACAACAGTTTAAAAACATAATTAATCTCAAACTTTTTATTCGTATTCAAGAAAATAACGAAGTTAAGAGCCCGTTATGCATTAAATACTGGTAACAATGATAATGTAGTGAAACTGTCAAAATGCAGAAAAATATATGTGTTGGACACGTTAAAAAGCGAATGAGCACTTAATTCAGGTATATTAGAAAGAAGGGATACTTAAAACAAATACGATTGCCGACATTGAAAGTTTAAATCATGTTTTTTTAAACTTATGTACACGATAACTCAGAAATTATGATTTTTGTGGCGAAAGTTTTGCTCAGTCTTTTAAGATTCGATTAATCTTGGATTCTCTCAAATATGTTTATACTGTGCGTTATTATAACTTATAGATCCGAACACGAATCGATTCTGGAACCAGTTTATTTTTGAATTGCTCTGCTGCATATATACAAGTGTTTCAATACAGAAAACGACAACCAAAGTTTTACCTTCTGTATGTAACATTTTGCTTTCGAGTATATATTTTACAGCAAAAGATTGTTAAAAATTACTGTACATATTACGGCCTATTTATTTAATGACGATGTCATACTTCATTTGAGACAAATGCAAATTACGAATGTAACCATTGGATCACAAGCTGCGGAACTTACGCGCATGCAAACTACATTGCGCATCATCGTTGGCCAATGGTCGCTGTACCAGAGTTAAAAGAAGCTAAGATAGCACGTAGAAAGGAAGTCTCGACGATAAATGTCGAGTACGAACAAGTCGAAGGTCTTCTTCATGGTCCCAGCACGGCCGATCAGTTGTGAGTTTATATATTTTACGAAAGTCTAAACAATTTTGAGAACTCGTATTTATATCCTGAAATATCTTTTTTTTGCAATTTACGTTACTAAAAGTGAAAAATTATGAAATCGATTAGTTTGAAATTTTAACATGTCCCCATCTCCGATGCAATATTTATAATTGTCGTTAAATATTTAATTTAGTTGTTAAATGTTTTATATTTTAATTGTTGGAAGATTATTAAGAAAATGACGAAATTTCGATATTTCGAATTTATACGCGTGGGATTTTGTCAATTTTTAATTTTGCTCCGAAAGTAACACATGTGATAGCAACATTTATAAATGTATAGATAAAGAATTTGCTTTTTTTTTGTTTCAGATAGATGTATAAGCTGAAATCACCACTGCCAGTGAAGTGTAATTTTTTAAATCTCTTTGCTTAATACATAATAATGGATTGAAAATATATACTTCTTCAAGAATTGTTGTTTATAATAGATACACACAGTAAATGAATTAAAAAAAACCTGGAATTAGTAAGTTAAAATGTGCCATTAGAATGCGCTCCATTTAAACACGAATCAGATATTCGTCGCGGATTTTTTCTTACCTCTTACAAAATTCACAAAATTATTAATTGCCATTTTATCAATTACAAAAATAACAAATTAAAAAATAACTATTATAAAAATGAGTTCGTGCAATATAAATTTTAATCGTTGTATGGAGAAGTGTATCAAAGACAAAGAATCTGATAATCTAAAAAAACAGTACGCTGTTACAAAAGAGAATGATATAAAGTTCTGATTGGACGTTGTCAAAGTCTAATTAAATATCTGTCTACGTGTTGTGTAGGTGTTATTTATCAGAAAGTGCAAACAACGCGTCATACGTATAACTAATAGCTTTTATATTGTTTATTTAATCAATTTTATTTATATTGGTATTTTTATCTTCACCTCGTTTTAAGTACTGTTCTATTCTTAAATAGGACCTGGTATAATGAAATATCTGAAAAATATAATTACTTAAATGAAAATTACATTAAAATCAATTTTATAATTAACACTAGAACTACCGTATCGGTCAAAATGACTGGTTTCGATTTTTTTGTTTAGCAATTATTGATATCTTCGAAGCATTGAATATTCAAAATGATTTTAAAAATAAATAGTTTCACTAGAGTACTATAATCAGTGTCTGAAGAAACTGAAAATAATCTACTGTTACAATTTTTATAGGAATTGCATATTAATCGTATTAAATGATCGGTAGTTCTAGTGTTAATAAGACACTTAACATATAAACATGAAGTTTGTAAATTTTCGCTACATCACTCATTTTGAAAAATACGAAGCAGTATTAAGAATTTAGTTGGTCGTCATTGTGTGTTCTATACATATCCATGAACTTCGTTTGATGCCACTGTATTTGAAGGTCTGTTTAGGACCGAGTTAATACGAAATGCGGTAGAGGTGAAATTGCGCAAGAAGTTTCACTCATCGACGATGGCGTTACAGAATAATAATAAGATGAACTTGTAATTCTATTATAAAAGTTCTTTCTGCAGGAATCTAATCTTTTTCAATTATTTAATACAATAGTGTGATAAAAAGTTTCGTTTCTTTGTGATATATTTTGAATAAAAATAGAATAACATATATTATGTAGGTGTAATTAATTTTCTATTGTTATTTAACAGTTACAAGACTTTTTTTTCAACGTACATAACTTTAATGTAACTGGCATCCTGTTTCTTTTGAAAATTAATATGGATTAAAATATAAAGATATGAACATTCAAGCAATATAACAGTCGAAAGTGACAGAAAATTAAAAGGTATAAAATCGGAAAATTTTCGATAGATAAATGAATATAAACATAGCTGCGCATTGCATTTGTATTCGATTTGTATACTACATTGGAACATATACTACAAGAAATATCTTTTAATCGATTGCTCAATTAAAATTTCTCGAATTTTTCTCATAGAACATCATAACGTAATAGTCTATTCATAATTGAATGTATCCATAAATTATAACATACACATATATTTTAAAATAATATCAAGAAACGTAAAATGAATGCTTCAAATATACCTGCAAATTGAAATAAATATTTAAAATACAGTGAGCAATGAAAATATTCGAAGTAATGAATAGTTAAAGTCCAGTAGCAAGTTTGATCGTATACTTAAATTGTATAAATGTTTACACTGGAGGAAGGAAATTGTGCGTTTGTTATTGTTCGAGCATAAAATGAAAAAATATACATATTCTTTCATTACTATACACATATTTAGCAGAACAAAAGACAAGATTAATTATAAAATTCATTGCTAGCATAACAACTAAATAAAAATATTAAAAAATGTAGTATTCATTACACACCCATTCAAAGTACATTCAAATATAATTAAGGTCTGAGAATTTATTATTTAATATATAAACTTATAGAAATGATAACAATATAATATTCTTATCGTACACCTATGAAATTTTATTTTCAATTACTGTATTCTATATAAATTAAAGGTCATTCCAATAATAAAAAAGAGTTTAAAAAAAGGAAGAAATTCCATTCATTAATAAAAGCGAAATATTTCATATAGTTTGCTCAAAAATATTCCAAATTTCACGGATGCAGTATAAGCAAACTCGAAAGTACGGATAATCCACTGATAACATTTGCATTAGGATAGCAGCGCAAACAGTAGGCTTCATAATTTTCGCGTGGATTCTTATCAATGTAAATGCTGGTTATTGTGTCACGAGATTTTCTCTGTCAGGCGAGATTTATCGTTCCGCGAATCATTCTGATTGATATCTAGAACTCAACTAATGTAATTACAAATTGCTTTTTATCTACGAGCGTTACTTTATATCTCTACAAATTATACTTCTCACTTTCCGTTTTCACTATTGATAAACTCCACGGCCGCGGTACTCGCGTAATTGTTTCTCAGATTCCGTAAGTTACCGGGCAATTATGTAACTATTATTTCATTCGTAATTTCATGCAGAGAATGTATCGCCCATCGATGAGTATACGAATAACGTTGTTCTACCCTACAACAATTTATATTATGTTTTTAATTAGATAAGAACAAAAAGTGATAACAACGAAGCTGTGTATGTATGGGCACACGTATATAAATGCTTACTTACTAATGTGCGTGCATATGTATAATATGTATATATATACATATTATATATACATATATACATATATATGTGTACTCGCAGAGCATACAAGTTGGAAAAGAAGAGTGGGAGAATCCCTTTTCGGTGATGGACTATAAAACCACGATCAACTGATTGATGGATCGTAGTTTCTTTTTCGCAAGTTAACACAGAACTCGAGCCTACCGAAGGAATCGTGTCGAACGAACGATTCACATTATCAACATGACGCACACACACAACATGAAGAGGGTATCCATTATATCTATCTCGGAGAAAATGAAGATTCCGACTACAAAACCTCAAGGTATGTGTCAGAAGTGTTAGTTGTCGGTTTTTTTCTATTCAATTCGCACGCCATTAGGTACTGGAAAAAGTTCCTGCGGATTCCTAAATCGAAATTCAAACATAGAGAACATTTTCGCAAAATAATTTCATTTGATTTGATACCAACGATATAAACATAGGTTGCTGCTAATACCAATTTCATCTATGAACATTAAAACTGCCAGCCAAACTGACTGGTTTTCTTGTTTCGCAATTATTGACACTTTAAAATTGAATATTCAAAGTGATTTGAAAAATAAATAGTTTTAATTGAATAATGTAATGAATGTTTGAAGAAACTGAAAATAATCTATTGTTACAATTTTTATAAGATTACATGTCAATCATGTTAAATGCTCCGTAGTTATAGTGTTAAACTAGTGAAATATCGATTGAAATCGGACCTCGATTCATTGATAATAGGAAAACCAACTTTTTCCGGTACCTACTATTTTCATATATTACGCTTATCCAAACGACATTGGTGCAAAGTGCAACTTTTAATTTCTTCCTGGCAAGCGAGGCGAACGATAATATCGGTCGATGTTCGATTTAATTTATAATCGTATCATTAAAGTTATTTTCATAGCTTTAATTCTATGGTTTTGCTGGCAGTGTTTTCCGTCGACGGCACATTTATGCACCCTGTGTTTACTTCATTCTTAAATCGGCCCTATTGTTTTTGTAACGCGACGTCTAAATATTACCATACGTATGTACACTTTCTACGGTCGTGTAATTCAAAGAGATAACGTATAAATTCAATCTGATCTTGATTTAGTAGCACTAATCAGAGATAAGACGTTATTTGTCACGACTTCTGCAGAGATTGGCCTCGTTTGTCCTCATTTAAAATCGTGCTTCTCACGTGCTAGGGATACCCCACTTGTGTAATCATTTTTCAAATTCATCTAGATAAATGCTTATACATTTTTTAATGTTGCTCCATATTATTTTCTTCGGTGAAATATTTACTTCTGAACGAAAGTGAATTTTATTTAACAGGTCCGTCTAAAGAAAGATCAAGTTTAATATGAATTTATCTTACATATATTTTTTTCATGTCATTCACTGCTTTTGAATGTTATACTTTGATAAACAAATTTGTTGAATATTATACAAACATCGAGAGAATTGTGCAATTACACAGGAATATATAATCTCTTAGAAAAATTATCCGAATTGTTATATTTCTCACATCAAGAAACTTTCAATTTTCTTAAAGGAGGATCAAATTCTTATGTAAATTACAGCAAAAGCTTAATCGTATCGAATACGATTTTAAATAGATATGAAAATTTTATATTTTGTATATTTTAACGAGAAACCAAAGCAGAACAAAGAAGAAATACACGTTTATGTGAAAAACTAAATAATTAGTGTCATTTCAAGTTTTTAAAGGCTTAATCAAGCAGTTAACTGCTTAACGCAAGGTTTACCGATATTTATTGTACACTTTATTCTACAGGTTTTAAAACACTTAATGTTCGTTCATTTACATTTTGCCAGTTAGAGATTTAAAGATTGGACAATTGAAATGCACGTTTGTGTTATCGCATGAATAAAGATCGACAGAAACGTTTACTAAATAATGTTTGTAAACTTCAATGTGCGTCAAATCGACGTGAACCTAGTGTTCAGGGTATTTCGCTTGCGGTTAAACCTTACCTACGACATATTTATCGTTCACGATGCCAAGCTAAGATTATTAATCATTTGAAAATGCCTTTGAACTTGGATTTGTCGAACCGCAAGGACAATTCCGAGCACGATGTACGATTGCAAGCAACGTAGTACAAGATAATGGGTTTTTGTGCAACGCGTGTAGCATACGTACGTGACCAATCGCTTTGAATTCCAAAACGTGACGTGAACAATCCCTCAATGTCAGATTTCTCGCGATGTCCTAGAGATGTGAAATGAACGAATTGCTTGTCCGCATTCTCTGCATTGCTTGGCCATGAAATGCAAAAAACAGAGGATGCAGTTGCTTATCTGTGGGTGTGCATATTGATACGCGCTGTAGCAGAATGACTTACTGCATGTATAGTCTGTTAGAACTGATTCGCCGATACGGGTCAGAACTCAAGCCGCGATAAATTTAAAAAGCTGAGGCCGTAATTTGCGCTTTCCTCCTTCATTGAATGCAACAGTGTCGAATGAAGTTTAAATTATGCTGTTTAATATATTATGCAGAATATGTAATATGTAACAGAGGAATCGTGGTGTACTCATATTAATATTTACAGAGTAGTATAGTTGCGTTACGATGCTTATTTTAAATGTTTTGAAGTATTTATTATATATTTATTATTATTACATATTTATATATAATAATTATACACTGTAATAATTATACAATTGTATATTACATAAGTGTAATAATATTAACATATAGCATATATACTTATTGTATGTAAATACATAGTAAATTATATATAATATATAATTATACATTATGTATAATTATTATTCTGCTCCTGTGAAATTACATGAACTTTCTTTATCATCTAAACTACCGAGCAGTTAAATTGACTTTTTGAAATTTCTTTAATAATTCCGCATAGAAACGTCTGTTATTTTCTTAATAATTGCAAAAAGAAGAAATCAGGAATGAGTCACTTTGACCTGTGTGGCAGTTTCAGTGTTAATAAACGATTTTCAAAGCATAAGTACAGAAAGATGCTAGACACGGATAAAATTTTTTCGTAATGGCTATTCCTCGTGTATCCTTTTGTTAATGAATTCATACTATACATGAATAACTTGTATCTTCATAGTTTATTTCTTTCAAATGTTTCCTCTTATGTAACTATTGTCTTTATATAAGATGATATAATTAAGAATAATTTTTACCATAGTACTTGAAATCACATTCGCTAATATCTTATCGAGTATCGTTTATTCTTATAAATAAATTATTTCATGGAACAGGAGTGATGTGCAGAATGTGTACAGGGTAATTTGAATTTTTTAATTTAGGATCTTGTTAATGACACGTCATTTTATGAAATTGAAAAATTGTTCTGAAATTTTTTACGCTTAACAATATTTTTTCTTTGCAACATAGGTCACACCATGCTTTCGCAACACATACAGTTAAAATATACATTTTTTTCCTTTCGATAAATTGTCAAATTAAACGAAATCCGAATACGTAAGGAACAATTACCACAAATTCATGTTCCTACTTGTATGATGCTCAAATAATTATACGAAATTGAATGAATTACGATTTTAGTCGATTAAGTTCCAAGTATGAATAAGAAGATAGCTAAACAAGTTTTACAAAGTTACTAAACTCTCAAGAACATTTAACACGGCAATACAATCGTTTTAAACGTTAAGAAGCAATAATTGTTATACTTTCGGACGTCATTATCATGTCAGCAGTACCATATCATATATAATTATCTACTTATCGGATCAATGTAAAAGTAAGCGTATTTTCTGACTAATATTCGTGGTAATTTATGGATGAGTCACCAGCCAAGTTATTGCTACTTGTAAGATTGTACAATTTACAATAAACTGCCATTTGGTGAGTTGTGGTGTCAACATTTTGGCGATCGTTGCCATGTATCCGTGCTTCCGTTAACCAGTCGTTATCAGTCAACATTATGTGACTTCGCTTTAACGACAATCGTTATCAGCCGGCATCATAAAAATATTCCAAATTTTAACTAAAGTTAAAATTGTTGTATAAGATATTAACACAGTTTAAATGATGTTTTAATTACTTTGTGATTGTGCGGAAAGCGCTCGCAGCAGACTATAAACTTTCCGCCTGACTCGTCGGCGAAACGTGAGAGTACTTGCAATAAATCTCCGGCGGCCAAAGTGTTGAGGATATCGCAGAATCTAAACAGGGAAATTTCATTGTACGTTCTGTGCAAAAATGTCTGAGACTTTAAAGAGAAAATGAAGTAAAAGATGTTAGAATAAACAAGTACATAATATTTTTCGCCTGAAATATCCTTCATTTCCTACCTGTAACTGTTTCTAAGCAATTTCTTGAATATGTGAGCTGCTCTTTTTAAAGTGCTGTAAGTCTGTTTTTGGAAAAAAATGAGTTAATGATAGTTTTAGTGAGATATAGATCTCCTATTTTTGTATTTATAATCACAGAATCAACGACGTACGATAACATCATAAATTCATCAGGAGAAGTTCAACTGTAAAATGTTATTGAAAAAATGCTTCCTTTGAAAGTGGAATAAGTCGATTTTCAGCTAAAAAAATCGTTTATTTTCTTTAACAATTTTATTATTTATTATTTTATAATGAAATTTAACAAGCTTATACCCTTGAATATCTTAAATATCTCGATGAAAAAACCGCCTAGAATACTTCTATTTGATTCCATTGAAAAATATGATTCCGTTAAAAAAGAAACGAAATTGACCTTCACACGTCCTTTGCACGTTCATATAGGAAGAAGTCATTTATTAGAGATGATGTAGCCATTGAAGCTATTTAATTTTTGTCCGACGCATTTTTTGTACTAGCAATTACTTTCGAAGATATTCGAGTGGATCTATTTAAACGAGTCATCGTGCATTATATGAAATGTTTTTTCCTTACACATCTTTATTTGCAGTATTTAATTAAAATTAAAGTCTAAGATTATTTTATAAAAAGTTTACAAACATATTTTCCTAAATTCTCAGCTTATAATGAAAGTATCGGGAGAAGTTAACAAAACGATATTTATAAGGGAAAAGAATTAAATTACATTGTTTTACTGTTAATTCTTATCAGAATGTTTAACATAAGCAGTATAAATTATACACAGAAATATGCAACTGTATTGACTGCACCGGGAATATTAATAATTATTTATTTGTAGTCGATTATCTTAGAAAGAACACTAATTAGCATAATTATTCCATAAAAATATGCAACACACAATTTATTTCGTAAATATACCCGTTGTGATAATTGTATCATTTCACAAGAGCAGGGTATATACATAGTAATCAATAAATCAGTGTCAACTATTCCGGTTTTTCAATTGTAAGTATTTACATAATGATAATATACTTGTCCCATAACAATGTAATTGTTCAATACGAACGATTTACATACACAAAATATATATTATTTAAAGGTTTGCAACGTACGCTATTTGAACAGTTATTATTCAGTATTTTTTAAGCGAAAGAAGCAAAATACTTTCGTTTTGCACGATCGAAATAAATTTAAAATAGCGTTTTTCAAGAACTGCAATGGAAATGAATATATTAGTGTTTTGTTTAATTATTCAGTAAAGGTCGCTTGCACATCAGTAATAGCAAGTCTTTTGTTTAACAATTGTTTCCATTATGTCGTTAAGATTAACATAATTCCACTATTAATATGATTAAAGACTTATATTAATCTTTCTATCACAGTGTTTCATTCTATTTTGTATAATATTTTTTATACAAAAAATCTTTTCATAGATGCGTTCACTTTATTTCATGCATGTTTGATTACACAGACATTTGTTAACTTTACTTGCATAACAACCAATAGCTTTTTCAAGTTTTTTAAAAACCTTATTTTTATTTTTCTTATTTCTTGTTTCTTAGTTTCTATTCTATGCAAATAACCATTCATTCATTTTTTCATCTCTAAATCCTAAATTTTTTATACTCCATACCATTTGGGATCCTCTTCGAATCTTAATGGTCGATCGTTGATTTTTAACTTTTATTTCGTCATTTGATTTTATCTGTGTAGCAATTTTATCATCAGACATAAACACGTTAAATTTTGCTTCTTCAGTACGAATTATGTATATTGAATGTATAAAATATATTCGATTCGAATGGATTACATTGTGACGCGGGAAAAATTATAATTTCTCTTATAAAACCCATATTAGTTACGTTAATTTTAATCACATAAAAAAATATGTACAAATTACAATTATAATTTAAATATGCATAAAATATGCATAAAGATACATTCGCCTCGAGTGGACTACATTATGATGCAAATGGCTATATTTTTCGAACTTTTCTGTTATATCTACATTTTCATATGGTATGCTATCTATTTGCTAATGTACAACATAGCAGCCGATAAGAAAAAAAGAATTATGTAATCAATTCAAAGAATTTTCTTGTATCCGCTTCATCAACAGCGTGCCGTGTAATTTACGATCAACTCGGTGATTAGCTGATTGTTCATCTTCTTCAACTGATTCGATTAGTGTCGAGTTATGCTTGATTTATTTTGATAGTTTTATAATCTGTAATTCGCTTTATCAATGTGCTTGGTGCTCAATGTTCGTCTGTCTAAATATCTCCTCTTCAGTACCAGTACGCGACACCTGTTACAAGATTAACGAACTATCATCAGATTGCCTCTGATTTCTGCCTTATCGTTACAATTAATTCCACTTTATGCTCGAAATTCTCATTTGAATCCGGACACTTCTGCTATTGATGTGATAACAATATCGCTACGACAGGTCAAAGTATCTCGTCAGTAATCCATGTTCAATTTATCGACGGAAATTAATTTATTCAATCTTGTCTAACGATCCTCGCCTGTAACAAATGCATGTGCGGGTTTTGTTTCAACGATGGCATCATCGTTTATGTAATGGAAGATTCATATGCAGATTCATACAGCCTCCCGGTGAATTATTATCACATTAGTATGCCACGACGCGTACTCATTACATTATTCCTGTTAATTATGCTCTTCTGTGAAGGCATTCGAGCACATTTTGTTACAGTCATTTTGAAAATAATTGATTCATTCAATAAACCGGTGAAGTTCATTTATATTCCCATTTTTTTTTATTTCCATAATGAAATAATACGAAAATACTTTTGTATATCTTTCACACCAACAGCTCGTGCTTGAACACTTGGCGATTTGACCTTAGCGAGACAAGGAATAGTCATATTTACGGGGTCACCGGATACAATCAAACTTTATATAGCGAATTTAGATAAAATATGGGAGCACACGTAACTGAGTTTTGATATTAATATGAAATACAGTAGTTGCCAATGAAACTGCACCGTCGTATGCACCTGCCACACAGAATAACCAAAATCAAAATTACATTCACTTTGGATTCTTCATGATTCTCTGAAATAAATTATATTTTCTCGAACGCGAGCCATAAACTACTATTACTCGTGTAAGGCTGACATAAAACAAATAGTTAAATGAAAAGTTAAATACAAAAATGTCTAAACTGTGAATAGATAAGGTAGTTCGTGAAAAGTAGAATTTTGGTAAAAAGTGTCTGTGGCTATTGTAATGGCCATTACAAAGGGTGTCATTATTGCTTCAAAACATGAATACAATAATTGTATTATACAATAATAATGCCATCTTTTTATCTGCCCCTAAATCGTACAAACAACCATTAAATAAAACAACTGACAAGAGAAATATACACATAACGAAGCAATTTATTATTTCGGATAATAATTAGTCGTATAAAGTTGCTTTTTCAACAGTTCTTTTATTAAATCTTGTAAACAGAAAAGATTTAAATAGTTTGTGAGGGATTCGGAGGTCGCAAAAATTGTAAAACCGGCCGTGGGTTGTGCATCACTGGCTTAAAATGATATCGCGTCGGCTTTTACGCAGGGATTTCGACATCTACAGTTCGTTCATTTTAATCGTACCATACAAGATAAATTTTCTTCGACTGTTTTTTATTGGTATCATTGTTTTTTACTTGTATATTATATAAATGAATAATTTCACGCTCGAAATTTGTTTATATTTTTCGAATGAACATTTAATCAAATCTTTGTTGATTCCTCGAACTACTCTTCGTATTGTTTCTGCCTCTTGCTGAATTCAAACAAGTTAAATTGTTTTTAAGACGAAAGGTAATATTGAAATACGTGTAGTTAAAAATTGTAACCGTTCAAGAATATTTCTAAGTAGTATTTAATCAGCTGAAATTAACGGAATTCAGAAAAGATGGTGATGTTTTCTACATTTACCTATTAGAAAATGTAAACAAATGGGAAAGAGAACTATGAAATTCACTATCATTATTAGGGACATATTAGAATATATCAGTGACAATGATGTGCAAATTTCGTCTCGCCAATATTGTTATGAACATCACAAACGTCGTGATTTTATCAGAACTTCTCTTATCTTGGACGATAAACGAACGAATGACCATAACATATTGAAAGGTAACTTCCTTATGTCGTTGCCAAATTATTCCAGAACAGTGTCCCTATTTTTAAGGCAACGTAACGTCGAGCTATTTATCAGACGTAGCTTTCATTCGACACTTTTAATTAAATGCCTGGGACCAAACATAAATTTTCAAATATTTATTCATTTTACAGACACCAAGCGCAAATGTCAGCCTTTATTTCCTATGTGATTATGACAATTTGACAGTTCCCTAAGAAGTTATTCGATGTAAATGAATTTCAGCATACACACGCTGAATGAAACTAGACGATTGAAAAACTGAACTAATTAGTCAAAAACGTTATATCATATTTACATTTTATTTTCAATGGGATCACAGCAATCTATTTGTCGCAGTTGTTTCTTGACATATTTAAACATATAGGAGTTCATACCGAATTTCTTCATTTTATGTTCAATCTGTTTAACATTAACGGTCTGTTCGATTTAAGATTTTCGAGATTTAACCCTTAAAATGCTGAGTGGGGTCCTACAGGGAGCCCAGAAAGTATTTTTCCTTAATAATTTTGTAAGTAATTTTTTTTAATTTTTCATATTTTATGTATTCTCTCTTTTTTCATTATCAAGTATTGTGGATGATTTGTCTCCAGGAGACCTCAGTATGTTTATAGCTAAGAACAAAATAACGATAATGTTTTTAGAATAGACAAATCATCCACAATACTTGACGATGAAAAAATATAAAATACATTAAATATGAAAATTACAAAATTATTAAGGAAAAATACTTTCTGGGCTCCCTTTAGGACCCCACTCAGCATTTTAAGGGTTACGTCGAATCTGTGCGAAAAATCGAATGCAACGAATGAAATATTATTCTGTATACAACGTGCATGTGGTCAATTGCATGCATAGATCCACGTATTCATAATCATTCCCTCTTCCTCGCTTGGCAATATTTTTTTGCCTCCTACGACAAGTCAATAGCAAGTCGTTAACCAACGGTGGCAATGATAAAACAATATCTATTGTTTAATAACGCTTCACTGTGTCTGTTCAGTCATGTGATACTAACAATGGAAAATACCGAAGTGATATCCGTCTATTTTCATGAAACTTCCGTGGAAAGTAGATGTGCAAAAATGTTTTGACACGTATTTTCCTATTGATCATCATTCATACTGGAGAAGTGAAACAACTTAGAAAATCAGAGGAAGAAAACATTCGAATATTTGGGAAATACATTATATTCGAAGGTATAACATGATTACATAAAATTGAAATCTAGACATAATTCAATATTTGTTTGATTGTCTACTCTAGATCTAGTTTTGCAGAAAATAATTTTCTATTCACGTAGAAACCTCTCACATATAAAAATATATAGGAAAGTGGATTAACTTTTCAGCAGAGAAATTCACACAAAGCTGCTCTATGTTTATTAATATATCATTGAAACAGAGGGAGTTGTTTGAAATCTGCTTCAACAACGGGATTCTAAAATATATACTTTGCCATGCAATTTTAGTCTAACTTCTGTAATTTTCAAGGTATTCAACTAAATATCTTTTTTATTCCTAATTTTTAGAGGTGCTTTCTCCCCTTTAACCTTCAGAATAGCAACGATCCAGTAACCCGATAGGTCACGTTTGATCCACACGCATCTTTCTTTTATTACTTTATTGTTTATATGATTTTTCTGTTTATAATAATTTATACGTTAAAATGTAATATATTTATCAAAAGGATGTAGATAAACAAAGAATTATTAGTGAATTAAGTGAAATATAAGTATAAAGCATTTATTTCGCACATTGCACACATATTATAACAATCGATAGATGTATTTTACATACGCATGTAGGTTTCAACCATTCACAATCGTTACACTTGAGTTCATGTTTATTGCACGATGGAGTTCTCCAAAAACATGGATCCTAATTGACCGAACGCAGTATCTTCTAGGGTTGATATGAATGATGGCCAATAAGAAAGTACGTGTCAAATATTTTGGTAAGAATTAATTTCTCCCAAAGTTCCATCGAAAACTGCAGATGTCATTTTGGTACGTACTTCTATAAGAGGAGAACGCATTTAAATAGTCTCCGGTGGATAATCATTGCTACTTACGATGGAATTTAGGTCTCCTTTTTCAGAGGACAGTTTATAGAAACTTCGAAACATACTGTTCCTTTCTAATTTTCTGCGTTCACGCGCAAGAACGATGGAGATATTTTCGACAAATAGAGACCGTTTTCACAATTAAAGAAATAAGAATTTTCTTATTTTTCATCTATGCATCACTTAATTCAATTTGTGTTTATAGTTTATGAACACCCTGAGTGATTAATTAAAGTGGATTCAGTAATTTGAGATTAACAATACTTTTTTTAACGACAGATTACACAGATATTTCAGTTATTGCATATAGACTAGAATTTATATTCAGTCTATAAACACTCTGAAAGATTAATTTAACCGTTTGAACTCTGTAGCCTTCAGTATTGCACCAGTTATAATATTAAATATTTTAATGAATCTTAAAGAAACTACCCTGAAATTATTAGATTTTCCATACATCCAAATTTTGCACTGAGAAGGAAACTAAAAAATCGAAGAAATGTTATAGTACTTCTCATTTTCGCTAGGAATACTATAAAAATTAGTTGCAGTTACTGATAAATTACAAAACAACCTAGAGTGCTAAGGGTTAAGTGGATTCAGTAATTTGAGATCAAAATAACTGTTTTTAACGATAGATTACTCACATGTTTCAATTATCGTATATAGATTAGAATTTATATGCAGTCTATAAGCACCCTCAGTGGTTAACTAACGAGTATTCATTAATTTACAATTACCACTGCTTCCTCTATCGATGCATCCCTATAAAATAATGATTACTTACTAGTCCCTTCTTAATTTGCAGCTTGTTTCGGATGTAGACACGTGCAGGTCGCATTGATGGCCTTGGGTTTTCTATGCTGCTATGCTGTTCGAGTTACCACTTCAGTGACACTGGAAGCTATGACGAATTCAGCCAGTGCGAATCCTGATTATGAAGTATGGGTCTTTCATTCTTGCTTTTTACTGGTTAATCATTCGTGCATGGACAGGCTAGCTTTTGACAACATCCCATTGTTTATTGAGATTTTAGATGAGAATAGAGTTTTAGGTAATAA